ATCATCATCATCATCATCACGTCGCCCTCGTCATCAGGTCGTCCTGACCACGTCGCCGTCGCACTGTCGCGATCATCATGTCGTCATCATCGTGTCGCCATCATACTGTCGTGAACACCATGGTGATCATCGTGTCGTCACCACCCCCCAACTCCCCCCAACCCCCCCCCCCGCTTCACCCAAGTTCGAAAGCTCCGATACCAAGCCTCCGAACTCAACACAAAATAGTTGCCGGCAAAATGGACAAACTTCCTTAAATATGCCCGCAAACAGATGTGGGATCACAGATCCGCTGGTCAATCCGTCAGATCTACCCAGCACTGCCCCGCCGCAGCTTCTGAAGCATCATCAAAGCTGTTTTTGCTGGAAGTCTGCCCAACGGTGCAGCAGCACACCCAGCACCCACAGGGCAGGTGGGTGGGCACACGCGCAGGACGCAGCTCTCACGAAACTGAACGCTACTTATACTTTTACTGAGCTCTGAGCTATGTGATACTTATTGCAACTGTCTTAGACTGAACGCCAGCTTGCCTGCTGCAAAGTGCACGCGGCCTCTTCTTTTTCTCTCAGTCGCACGACTGGTTAGTGTGGGGCAGCTCGGACCGAAAAGAATCTGTCGGAGCGGCCCATGCTTGGCACGTGCTGTCCATTTCCGAATGAGGGAAGGCACACACCACCCCCCACCACCTCCAGGGCGGGCGGAGCACAGGCACGCTAGAGCATACTCTAACACCTGCTGGCCTGCACATCATGGACACGCATCACGCAGCAATCATCAAAGGGCAACACTGCAACACATCATGACACGCTCGCAGCTGCAGACGCAAAACCGCAAGCACACACAGGCTCTGTAGGTTTTACTTTTAGTCAGGACAGTGGGCAGTCAACAAGTTGAAGCAGGCATCACGCAGCAATGGAATAGCCGGAAGAGTTGAGGGAATTTCCGAGCCCGACCAACCGCTACCTCCGTCTAGAAACGTCCTCAATCATGAGGAACGTGTTTATTGCGCAAACGCTCACTCCTCATCTGTCGCAAAGCCATCACTCTATGAGTAGCAGCAGCTGGCTGCTCCAGCCAAACAGAACTGCAGCGGTGCGGCCACCGCTTCAAGCTTTCACCTCTGGGATCGGGCCGTTGTCGCTACCTTTGCCCACGTCCCCTGGTCGCGGTTCCGCTGAAACAGGCGTCATCGCAGAAGCAGCAAGGGGCGCGTTCTGCGCCACTCCCGCTTGTCCATTCCCACGTGCAAGCTTGCAGAAACAAACCTGCACACCATGAGCACACTCCTCAGCCTCGGCCCTCGTATGAGTTCATAGACCATACATTCATAGATGGCAGCAACACACCACGCAAACCGTACACCAACCTTGCAAACTTCCTCAAAGTCCTCTTTCTCTTCCGCAGAAAAATCGGCGATGTATGCCACTTCCTCGCACGGGCCCTGGCCACACGAAGCAACAGGCACATGATTGACGCAAACCCGCCAACCCGGTAGAAACTACTGACACTGATCAGACTGATCACTTATCGTTTACCTCTAGTATTTCTGACACCGCAAGACTCAAGACTGCACACGCCAGCATAAGCACAGATAAAGGTGCAACATGCAAGGCAACAATGCTGTGGTTTTTGTTTGTGTTTGTGGACGGAAATAACGAAAACCCTTCCGCAGGACCCTTCCGCTGGCTTGCGCGCGCAAGGGTTTCGCTTCCGCGGGCCTCAACTTTCATATCGCTTCCGCGGATCCCTTACGCAGCGGTTGTTTCGCTGAGTTTGCGGGCTTGCTTCCGCAAGCGCGGTCTCGAGTCTTGAAGAGGCTCTTGTTTGGGCAAACCACTCGTGTAGCTGCGTAGCTTCAACCATCAACAAGGATGCAAGCTTACATGCACCACTCTGGAGCCTGCAATCCTCCCTGAGTGGCCTTTGGGATATCTGCGGCATGACATATCCTAAGATGGAGCTTCCGCAGGACCTTCCACAGTCCCGTGCAAATCTTATCGGCTGAAACGGTTGATAAAACCAAGCCTACTCATAATGAAAGAAGCGAGCAACAAAACCAATGCTCCGTGCACATGGACGACCACGATCAAGACACACAGCCTTTATGCACATGTAGGATATGAAGTAATGTTTTCACTCTGAGCAATAGCAGTACAGTTCTACGCTGCATCCAAGCCGTGGAGCTGCAACAATGGCTCAACAGATTGCACGCACCAACATGAGTTCAACAGTCTAGAGCCTGCTACGGCCGCTACACAACACCGGCGCCGCGGTGCAAGTGACATCTTGGAAGCATTCTGCGCAAACCCAAACCAGCCAGGCTTGGGCTGCGACGATCTACATCGAGCTCTGAGCCACAAAAGGAAGCAAAGAGAAGACCGCACTGCAAGGTCGCACTAAAAATGCGATTGCACGATATACAGTTCAGTACACAAAGGACGGCGTCAGCACAGCTCAGTGCCTCGTAATCGAAGGCCCGGCAAGCAACTTCTCCATCGAAGCGAAACCCCTTGGAACTTGAAAAAGAAAAACAGAACAAAAATGGCAAGAGGATGGCTTGAGGTTTAATTTGCCTGAGGGCATGGTTGGGCGAAGTCTTTCACGCAGCCTCCGCAACGAGCTGTAGACACCTTTGAGCACCGGGCAGCAGACACATTGCAACCGTGCCGTACTACAAATTCTCTCGAAGTGTCCGAACCTCGGCCTGTCGCTGGTTCTCTTGCATAATTTGCACATGCATGTCAGACAGCTGCTGCACTTGGTCGTCTTGCAGATGCTCAAGAGCTGCATCGAAAGTTGGCAGCTGTTTGGCTTGCGTTTTGTAGATCGCCCCTTCCCACGGAAGCAGCACAAACACACACCAGGCAGAAAGCTATCACGGCACCCAGCTAGCTACACTGTCAGTTCTTCTCGCAGAAACTTTGACTGTTGGGTGCTGAGGACAAGCACTTCGATGTGCGTCTAGTGGGATGTTAGGGCTGCTAGGGTTTAGGGCACGGGAGCTGTCTGTGGTTCAGCGCAGATTTTCGCACAAGATCACGCAAACGTAAATCTACAACCAAGCTCATTCATCAAGGCCCGCTCCACAGGAAACATGAGCTGCAAGGCCTGCAGCTTCCGCATTTGAGGCCTTTCACATCATACACACACACACATGAAATTTGTCACCGCTTGAAGGAGGCACGGCAACAGCACCAGCTCGTCAATGTCATCCAAACTAGCACACACATATCGGAAGAGCTTGGCACAAGCTACAGTACACCAACATGAGGCACGCGAAGACCTTGGCACCTGTTGTTGCCTGAGCTGCACTTCCAGCGAGCTCACATTGGCCAGGCAAAGTCCCATCACAGTAGCAGCAAAAAAAGGCATGCGCATGGCTTCAACGTCGAAACAAACAACAGCCGAAACAGCCAGCTAGCAGCTAGCAAGCAGTTAGCAACAAGTGCTGCCGAACGGATACTGTTGCTTGTACCAGCTATTGCAAATGCAAGCATTTGCCTTCCACATGTTGCTTTCTTTTGGTGACACTGATTGCAACTGTCTCAAACTGAACGCTAGCTTGCTACACTTCAACATGCAGCGCAGGAAACGCGCATGGAGCTTAGCGGCTCGGCTCAACGTGGTTCGGATTCGCTGTCTGGCACAGGAGAAGTCTTTCAAGAGCTTTTCATCAAGGGGGCCAACTTGTCCACCACCTAATCCAACAACAATGCTCTTTGTAAGACTGGAAACCGCAGCTCCCATACATTTCGAGCCGTGTATGAATTTTGGACTTGCGTCGTTGTAGAATCGTAATGTTCACATTTGCAGCTTACGTGTCCACAAACCAACCACAGCTGCGAAGAACAGCTAGAAAAACGTGCTGTCCAAAAACAACGGATCAATGAGACAGCATTCTCCAGCTTTATTTCTTGCTGGTCGACTTTAAACAAGATGGAGAAATTCTTTGTCCAGATAATGCAAAGCTCCGCACTGAATCGTCGGAAATCCAAAAAAAATGCAGAACTCGCTGTGAGAAAATGGCAGCAGCAACGTGAATGGATTCCAAAGCTCAGAAATACTAGAAACAACTTGTCAACACTCATGCTCCAACTCTGAAATTGTGAAACTTGCATTCATAGTTTTGTGGGTAAATCCTCCATCATGAGAAAGCAAGTTTAACGCGCATGTTCGCAGGCAGCAATTCGTGGTTTCAGAGTAAGAAGCCAATTGACTTCACTTGTTGGAAATCGGATGAAGATCAACTTTTGCCTCGTGGACGTTGTCTGCTCTTCGATCAAAACGACTCTACCTCCCAGGCAGATCAATTTCAAGACACCAAGACTCCAGAAGCATGGAAATTTTTCTTGCTGATTGGAGTCCCACACGCAGCTAGAGTTCGGTAGTGGACAGAAGCAGCATGTTGTAGCTGCCAAAGTACGACTTCGGGCTGAGCTATCATTCTCCACTGTTTTGATCAAGACAACAAGTTTGTTGCTTGTTTACGCCACTCTCACATGTTTCATTCGAGCAATAAGTTTTTTGCGGACCGTCTATTTCACATGTGAATTGGGTGTGAGCAAATTGAAGACGATACCATTCTGGAAAGCACCCACAAGAATGAAAAAAGCAAGTCAAATTCGTGCAAAGTTGAATGCATTTTGCCATCGTTAGATCTCCTATAGTGCTTCCAAATGGACTACAAACAATCGTTGCCTGAAAGCCGATAACACTCATCCAGCACTGCCACTGCCAGTAACTACAACAAAGCAGTTTGCTGGCTTTTTTGCTTCTGTAGCTTGTGACATTCCGTTCCGGCTTTCCCATTTCTGTATTCTACATCTTGCTTTGTTTGCGTTTGGATTTGAAACTGTCATTTTGCGGCGACTCATTGATTCTCTGGACTTCGCTTTTCTTCAGGTTGTCGGTGATATTTCGTTTCTCATTGAGTTCATGACTTAATTCACTGGAGTTTTGGTTTCCAAAGATCAGACCCGGTTTGGTTAAACAGGATTTGCTGTCTTTTTTTAGTGATCACTCTTTGTATTAGAGATCCGAAAATTGTTCCGAAGTATCGAATTCTGATTTGGCCACAAAAGTTTTTTTGTAGGTTAGTCTTTCCCTCAGCTGCCTTTATTCAGGCGTTTTTCAAAGCCTTTTTGCCTGAAGAAAAGTCCCGCAAAGTTCCATATCTCTTTGAACTTCTTGTTTGCTGTTACTTGAATGTTTGCTACTCCATGCAGAAAGTGATCCCATGCGCGCAACTAAAGCAGCGAGTTTGTTGCTTGAATGCCTCGCCCGAATGCTTATGCGACACTCTCGCGTGTTTTCGATTTGCGTGAGTTTTTCGCGGACAGTCAATTTCGCATGTAAAATTGTTTTTTGGAAATTTCAAGACAATGCCATTTCCAGAAAGCAGCAACAAGAAACCAAAGAAAGCTGAGGTGGCGCCATGTTTGTGCATAGTTCAATGCATTTTACTAATCGTTGAATTTTCATGTGGTGCTTTGAATGAAGTGCACACACGTCCACGACGGTAGGTGTGCTGCCACTTGTCCAAAAGCAAGGAGGTTTTGACTTTTGAAGCCTTCCAAGGTTTTCTCACCAAAGACACTCCCTTTGGTCAACACGAGTAGCATGTGGCAATCCAATTCTGGTTTGGCTGAAAGGGTTTCCCTTCGTAGGTTTTGACTTTTGGAGCCTTCCCGCTTTTACTCGGTTGACTTTCAAAGCCAAAAAGCTTCAAGAAAAGTTCCGAAAACAGTCCCATATCTCTTCAACTTCTCGTTTGCTGTTACTTAAATGTTTGCCACTACATGCATAAAGTAGGTGCCATGGTGCGCAATTAAGGCAGCGAGTTTGTTGCTTGTATGCATACGCCCATATGCTTCCGCCACTCTGCAGAAAAAGAAAGAGGCCGTTCTGCTAGGTCCAGACTTGCTAGAAGCAGCACGACGCAGCGCAGTGTGAGGTTTTTGGGGAGGAGTCTCTGCTTGAGCTTGAAGAACATGTTCGACTCATTGCGGACAGGCATTGTCAGTTCAGAGCCTTATTGTTGAACCTCGTATTTCCAGCAACAGCTCCCCCACGGCTGCCTCTAGTTTACCACGAGGCAGGCTTGTTGTAAAAGGCGCAGTTCTTACGATCGACAGAAGTCTGTTTCAAGTCTTCACCATCGCTTTGTATTTCATGCTCAGGGCGATCTGTAGCACAACTCCGAGCAAAGTCGTGTTCAAGGTATTTTCAAGATCCAGGAAATCAAGGCCTTTGTTGCCCACGCTCCCGAAGCTCGATCAAGGCATGGAGTGGCAAACATTTAAGTAACAGCAGTCGAGAAAATCAGCAGATATGGGACTGGTTTCCGGACTTTCCTTGAAGCTTTTTGGCTTTGAAAGTCGACCGAATAAAAGCGGCAGAAGGGGAAGGCTCCCAAAGTTAAAACCAACAAAACAGAAACCTTTTCGGCCAAAACAAAATTGGATACGGCTACTGCAACACTGCCACTCGTGTCGACCAAATAAAAAGAGCGGCAAAAGGCAAAAGACGTGTTTTTGGTGAAAAAACCTTGGAAAGCTTCAGTAGTCAAAAAACCCCTCAGAAACACCACTTTGATTTGCTATGTGGCAGCACACCTGCCGTTGTAGACCTGTGTGCACTTCAACGATTGTTTGTGCTCCTCTCAAAGCACTACATGGAAACACAACGATTTGCTGAAGTACATTGAACATAACGTCAACTTGTATTGATTTCTTGTTGCTGCTTTCTGGACATAGCATTGTCTGGAAATTTGCTAAGAAGCAATTCACATGTGATTGACCATCCGCGAAAAACTCACGGTTAGCCCACAAATCGAAACCATACAAGAGTGTGGCGTAAGCATAGCAACAAGCTCGCTTCTTTAATTGCGCGCCATGGCGCCTACTTTGTGCATGGCATGGTTCCTGAAGATGTAGATTTCCTGGTAACTTTGCTACCTGCCCAATCGCTGTCACTGAAAACTTCCAACAAATGTTCCTGCTTCTCTGCAACTGCCTGAAATCAAATGAACCATTCCTGATGCTTTCCTGGAGGTTCGAAATGCCTCTCGGTGTGTTTCTTGTAAACAAAATGATATCCTCTTCGGTCCAAGGGTTTGGTTCCTGTCGTCAGTGTTCTTTTTTTTTGGCTCCAACAGGGTGAACGCGCAAAGTTCCTTGCTTGTGAAGTTGCTGCAAGAAAAGAATCCTGATCTGCAAATGCCTCACTCTTTTCTGCATCTTGTCTGGAAATGATTCGTCGAGCTGCTGATACAAGTTCACCTTGCACCTTCTTTCTGTCAAAAACTCAACTGCTTCCTTCAGCAAAATGCTATCAGATGCTGTTAATGCTCTTGCATAGTACTCTGCTTCACCAGAACTCAAAGCTACTTCCTAGCAAATGTGTAGAGAACCTGTCCATCAAGAAACACATATTATATAAAAAGAAGTTCAAGAGATATGGCACTGGTTTCCGGAACTTTTCTTGAGGCTTTGCGGCTTTGACAGTCGACCGAATAAAAACGACAGAGCGGGGGAAGGCCCCAAAAGTCGGAAACCTTTTCGGCCAAACCCGGATAGGATAATTTTAATGCCACACTGCTACTCACGTCGACCGATTGAAAGGAGCGGCAAAAGGCAAACGCCGTGGACGTGCGTGCACTTCAACGATTGTTTCTAGAGATTCGATCATTTGGTAAAATGCATTGAACTATCCACAAATTTGACGCATCCTCAGCTTTCTTTCATTTCTGGTTGCTGCTTTCTGGAAATTGCATTGTGTTGAAATATCCCACAAACCAATTCACATGTGAAATTGATTGTCCGCGAAAAACT